GCTCAGTCACTTCTCCTGTGGAACACCTCGCGAAGATAAGTCTCATATCGCGTGCGACGTCAATTGCTGTAATCAGCTTTGTCTCGTGTTTGATCTCTTGATCGTCTTTATGTTGGAGTGCTGGCGCATCCGCCGGCCACCTGGAAGAACCCGAAGACCCGGTTGCCAAGGTTGATCCTGCTCCAGGCGGCTCCATGATGGCCCATACTGGCCTCCAAGATGCCTCCAAGATGGTCAAAATGGCCTCCACGACGGCCTGAGTGGCCCAAGATACTTCCAAGTCCACCCAAGAAGCCTCCCAGACGGTCCAAGACTGCCAAAGAGGTGCCAAAGAGGCCTCCAAGACACCCCAAGAGGCCTCGGAGAGGTACTCCAGCAGGGCCCGAAGAGTTTAGAATCATGTATGTTCGGTATGTGATAGAAGGATTTTCGCATTTGCTCTGCGTCGAGCTTCCGAAAGGCCAAGACGGCCCAAGAGGCCTCCACGATGGCCTCAGCACTGCCCAAGAGGCCCCAAGACGGCCCCAAGAGGGCCCAAGGACAGCCCAAGAGGCCTCTAAGACGCCCCAGGAAGTCTCCAAGACGGTCCTGGAGCACCCCAAGAGGGCCCCTAGTCGGCCCAGAGAGGCATCCGACACGGCTTCCGACGACGTCAGACGGGCCAGGCGCCCACCAAGACAGCCCAAGATGGCCTTACGATGGCCCAGGGCAGCCCAAGAGGCCTCCAAGAGGGCCTCCAGGAAGGCCCAAAGAGGTCACGATCATTGATTTTCCCAAGTGTTTGAAGGAGTTTGGCATGTGCTTCTTTTCGGCCGACCGACGGCCTGGCCCAAGAGCGCCCCCCCAAAACGGCCCACGAGGTCCGGCCCCAGGAGGCCCCAAAGACGGCCCAAGAGGCCTCCAACACCTCCGAGAAAGCATCCATGAAAGGCCGCCAAGACGACTTCCGACGACGTCACACCGGCCAGACGCCCACCAACACGGCCCAAGATGGCCCTAAGATGGCACTATGATGGCCCAAGAGGCCCCCAAGAGGGCCCCCAGGAAGGCCCAAAGAGGCCACAATCAATGATTTTCCCACGCGTTTGGCACTTGCTTCTGTTCGGCCGACCGACGGCCCGAGACGGCCCAAGAGCTCCAAAAGATCATCCCAAGATCGGCTAGGAGGCCTCCAGGATGGCCCCAAAACGACCCAAGAGCCCCCCAATACAAACCCAAGAGGGCCCAAAGACGGCCGAAGAAGCCTCCAAAACGCCCAGGATGGCCTCCAAGATAGCCCTGGAGCATGAGGGCCTCAAGCCGGCCCAGAGAGGCCACCGAGACGGCTTCCGACGGCGTCAGACAAGCCAGGAGCCCACCAAGACAGCCAAAGAGGCCCCCGATAAGCTTTTTTCGTATTCCCCCATGCCTGTGGCGGATCCCGCCAACAGGCAAGAACTCAGATCTTCTCGAAGATCACGTAGTGCGCACCCTCGTCGCACTGGTAGCTGGAGCCCATCGTCCAGCGGCTTCCCAGTCGGCGGATTCTTGTCCGCTAGAATCCTGCCCCTTTTCCCCCGCTTGGAGTCGCCCTTGGCGCCGAGGCCCCCCCTTGCCAGCGGCCCCGCGCAGGCGACCCCCAGGCCCGCCCGCCTCCGCGCAGAGTACGCCCCGCACACCATGCACACCACATACGGCCCATGCATCTCCACTTTGCGCTGACGCTGTTCGTCATCCTGTGCAGGCGCTGCTGGTGCACGTCGTGGTGGCTCTCCTGCTGGCTGCGCGCCTGCCGCTGCCACTGCCGCCGCGGCCATCGCGACCGCGACGCTCGCCTCCAAGGGGCCGACCCTGCCTGTCTTGCGCGCGCCCGCTGAGGTCCACGGCGGCGGCTGGCAGTCCGACTCCCGGAGCTTCCTCCTCATGCGCTGCGTGGCGGCTCGCCTGCCGCACCGCGCGCACCACGCCCAGCCACCGAACTCCTTCACCTCGTGCCTCGTCAGGGTGACCTGTGGCTTCGGCTGACGGCGTAGTGGCCGTCCACGTTCCCGCTTCGGCACGTCTGGCCACTCGCCCTCCATCTGCTGGCGCCACCAGCCGATGTTCTGCACCGCCCAGTGCGCGCGGCCAGCCAGCTCCTCGATCGTCTGGTGCGTCCCGTTTTTCGCGTCCATCTCGGCCCCCTCCCTGGCTAACAGGCCCACCTCCGCGCTGCCCTTCGCGATCTTGAGCTCCGTGCCAGTGAACTGCTCGATCTTCGCTTTGGACCTGCGCGCCTTGACGTGAATCACTCCGCTCACGTCCAGGTCGAGATCTCGTATCTGGTGCCAGATGCGCATCCAAATGTCAGCGTGCGGCCGCTTCCAATTGATGCACCATCGCTCGCCCTCCTGAAGGCCCTCTATGATGCCCTTGTGGTCCGTGTATATGTTGCCTTCGCCGAGCTTCTGCTCCAGCACCTTGTAAAAGGCCCGCATCTCCGCTCGCTTGATCTTCCTGTGCGCTGGGAGCGCACACGACAGCGGCCCCCGCATCTGATACTTCGGCTTCCCGCTCTCGTTGATCGACATGGCCGCCCAACCCGTCTGCGCCCACTCGCTGTAGCCGAGCTTGGACCCGTCGCACGCGATGCCCCCCGTGAAGAAGTCTTCGCCCCCCTCCACGGTCTGGCACATGTACTGGCCGTCATCGACGCCCTCGAATTCCCAGTCCGCTTCTGGGTGCCTAGCCAGCCCCCGCGTCCAGAGCAAGCTGTCCTCCTGCTGTCCCGCGACCGTCTGCAACTCGGGTTGCGCCTGCATCCGCCGCGCCCTCAAGGCCTGGCACTTGAAGTACCTGTGGCGCGGGGTGCCCACAGCCTCCCCGCACGCCAAGCAGATGCCTGTCGGCGCGAGGTTGCACTCGCAGAGCTTGCTCATGGTCCAGCCCCCGCCTATGAAGGCCTTCCTCGCAGCGTTCTTGGCGCGCTTCGGGAAGTCCCGCCTTCAGCTGCGCCGCCGCTGGGGCCGCCATCGGCGCTGGCCATAGGCTCGCGCGCTCGTCGGCCGCCGCCCATTCCTGCCGCAGCTTTCGCCGCGCGTCCTCCCGCAGCATCGCCGGCACATCCATGGGGCACACGTCCCTCATGTCCAGCTCGTAGTCGTCGTTGGTGATTACCGTATGCCAGGCTGGCCACGCCCACTGCGCCCTCTTGAGCGACATGACCACTGCCCCCGCAGGCCCTCGTACCCTGGCCCACACGGGCTTCATGCCCACCTCTTGCTGCAGGCGCTTCCACGCCTTCATCCGCAGATCCACCGCGTTGTCCAAGGCATGCTCGAGGTTTGCTCCTGACCGCCCAGCACATTGCGACGTGCAACCCGAGCCTAGCTCGGGATTTGCGCCTGGCCGTCCAGCACGAGGCGACGCGTGACCCAAGCCGTGCTCGGGATTTGCTCCTGACCGCCCAGCACATGGCGACTTGTTGCCGGGGTCTAGCTCGGGATTTGTGCCTGACTACCCAGTTCGTGGCGACATGGAACCCAAGTCGTGCTCGGGATTTGCACCTGGCTGTCCAGCTCTTGACGATGTCTCCCACGCTGCCCTGGCCCAACGGACAATGGGCGCCTCCGTGGCCTCGTAGGTGGGCCCCTCGCTCGCCAGCGCCAGCTGCAGCGTGAGGCCCTTGGCCCCACGCCCTCCCAGTAGTGCTCGTCCCGCTTCTCGCCGCATTCGTCGTAGCTGATGGTCTGGCACGCCAAGGCACCTGCACCCGTGCTGCACCGAGCGCTAGAGGCCGCACTTGAAGACCAGCTCCGCGCCCTTCGCCATCTTGCGGCCGCCACCCTCGAGATTCGCAAGCCTCCTGCTCCTTCCCAGCATGGTCTTGTATCGCTTGCCGCTGTTGGTCTTCGCCGCCGTGCCGTTCGCGATGAGGTCGGCGCCCAAGCATGGGCATGCTCGCACCACGGGCAGCCCGCGCACGTCCATCTCCTTCGCCACCGCCTTGCGCACCCACTTGGCACTGGCCATGACAGCTCCTTTGCCCTTGGCGCCCACCGAGCACTTTAGGCCCAGCTTGTCGAAAGCTTCGAAGCAAACGCCAATGGTGTCGCTCAAGTCCTGCACGATGCACTGCTGCTGCTGACGTAGCCGCGCACACAGATCATCCACGTACATACGCCATGTTGCCCGCGCCCCCTCCGCAACGAGGCCATCCACCGTCGACTGGATGACGAGCTTCAGGAAGCACGCCGAGAACTTGCTGCCTGCTATGGTCGTGCCCACCGTGCTGGTGGCGCTAGATACAGACTCCCCGACAATCAGCCTCCTGGCCATCGCAAAGTACGAGCGCACCACTGCCAACACACCCGTGTTGAAGTTCAGCTGCTTGCCCGCCTCCCATAAGACATACACGCTCACTCGTTCGAAGGCCATGATCAGGTCCAGTACCGCCGTGATTGTTGCCTCCAGCTCCTCGCCCTGGCCCCATGGCTCAGCAGCGCGTCCCATGCTGCATCCTCCGCCGCCTTGCCGCAACTGGTGCAACCCCAGCTCCCGTGATTGTCCTTCGCCCACCTGGTCATGCACGGCTCTCGCATGATCTCCCACATGCGCATGCTGGTGGGCAACAACCCAATGGCCCTATCTGTTGTGGAGGTCTTCGGGATAATTAAGAACAGCATCGTGCCCATGTGCATCGGCCACCTCAGCGCGCGCTCCACCCCCCGCATTATGTCCAGCAGCTTACTGTACGCCTCACCACTCGCTCCCTGCAGCATCGACGGGCGCCAGCGGTCCACTCCGATATATGTGCGCTTCCTGAAGGTACGGGCCACCGCCTTTAGCCTGCTGGCGTCCTCCTCGGTGAAGTCGTCCAGTTCATCCCTGGGCTCGTACTCCCGAGGCCTGGGCTCCTCCTGGAAAGCCTTGCCGACCCGCCAGACGTCCTTCCACTCGGCTAATGCGAACTCCGCCGCCCCCATGGGGCCCGCTGCTTTGGCCGTCGCATCTGCTCGCCTAGGCCTCCACACGGTGGCTGCCTAGCTCATCCTGTGGAGCTTTCCTGCCGCTCCTGCCGCCGCGATCTCCAGCTTGTCGGCCCACTTGGCCCTCCTGTCATTGAGCAGCTGCTGGTCGACGGTCTTCATGTTGCTCTCCGCCTCCTTCACCCAAGCCTGAAGGGTCACGACCCTGCTGTCGCCCCTCAGCTGGCCCGCGGCGACCATGTCGCACCTGGCCTGCCGTATACCCTGGTCCTTTACACTGATGTACTTCGCTCGGTGAGGGCGCACCTGGAAAAGCCTCTCCGCGTGGTTGGCATCGCGCTTCCGCTTCTGGAGCTGGTCAGAGTCCTTCCCCATTGCCTGCCGCAGCCGCTGGCGCGCGCCCTGCAAGTTGTGCAACGCCCGCGCAGCCCATCTCCACCAGGTCGCTGCCCTTGCCGCTGTCGGTGCGTTCGCACCCCGGAAGGTCAGAGGCTTGACGCGCCATGCGGGCACGTCCGCCCTGCCCGCGCGCGGGTCGCTCGCCTCCCACCTCATGCCACGTACCTGGAAGGCCTCCCTCTCCAGCACCTGCATGTACTTGGCCCACTCGATGTTCGCCGCCACCTGCGTGCTGAACTCCTGCACATCCGCGCACTTCGGCGGCTTGGGCACGCACCCGATCGGCACCTCTGGCAGCTCCTTCGGCTTCTCAAGCACCCTCACCCTGAGCTGCACCGCCTTCAGCTTGAGCGTGAGCCCCACTGGCTTATGTGGCGCTGCTGGCCACGACTCCTGCACCGCGACGCCCCCCACCTGCGGGGCCACCGAGTTCGCCGCCACAACGTAGTCGATCTCGCTGTTGCCGCAAGCGTGCCTGCAGGTTCCACACGCCGCGTTGGCCGTGACCACGGTGGCCTTCGCGACTTTAACACCCGCCACGCTTGCCATAACCTCAGGCGCCACCTGGAAATCGCCCCCGATGACCCACGGCACGCCCGAACTCTGCAGCTTCCCAATCACATGTGTGATCAGCTGCGTGTTCCTAGACGTCATGCCCTCCGCCGTCCATAAGTACACGGTGGCGAGCACAATACCTCTGCCCACTGAAAGCCACGCCGCTGCCGCCCTGCCTGGGCTGGCCTGCGGTGAAATGTGCCAGTCGTCCTTGCCGAACACGTAACTCATCCCAACTCGCTTCGGCACTACGACCGCCACTCCAGCCGACGCGTCTGGCTCGCCGTTGGGCCCCTTCTGTGGCCACCGCCGCTGCACCGCCCACGCAATGGCCTTCTGCCTTCATGCTCTGCGCGACCACCGCCAGCTTGTCCGTGTTCAGGTGATGTCCCTGCACTGCGTAGCTCTGCAGACCCTGCATCTCCTCCATGATCTCGTCCTTGATGGTGCCCCAGCCCGTGCCGTTGTACGTCCACAGGGTGACCGTATCATGCATGGGCTTCCTGTTGCGCTCACTACCGTCGCCGCTGTCGTTTGGCTGCTTACTCGGCCAGGCTGGCGCACACCTCCTGCCATCGCTTTCGCTGATCAGGTGTGGCTTCTTCTGGTACCCCGCCTGCCCTGAGCCATTCCTGCTCTTCAGCCGTGAGTTCTGGTAGTTCAGACTCCTCAGGTAATGGTGCTCCTGGTGCCCCAGCGCCCCGGCCTGCCCCAGGTGCCCGAGGCAGATCAGCACCACCTCCAGCAGCCATGTCCACGTCCTCCTGCTTCGCGTTGGCCACGACCTTGCCGAGCATGTCGGATGCCTGCTGGTACTCCTCCTTGGTGACTCCGCTGCCGTCGATCGCGCCGTCGAACTGCCTCTGCATGGCCTTGAGGAACTCGGGCGACTCACGGACTCCGCAGTCCTGCACCCTGAGCCCTTGCTCCTTGGCCCTCGCGACCTGCAGCTGCTCCTTATTATTCTCGTACTTGGCTCGCGCCTCCTCCAGCTGCTGCTCGTACCAGCTGGCGTCTTTGGCGCTCGCCTCGACCTCCTTCTCCAGCTTCCCCCTGGCGTGCTTAGCCTGCGTGAGTTGCACGGAGTGCGGCTTGCCGTTGTCCTTCTCAGCCCTGGCCGCCTGGTATGTCGCAGGAGCTGCGTTGTACTCCTCCGAGTTCTCCCCCCGCTCGCTCTTGCACGCCTGTGCCCGCTTGCAGAGCCTCGCCAGGTCGACCTGCGGTGCCTCCTTCTCCCAGTCCGCCATCTCACCCTTGCCGACCTTGCCGCTGCCCTTGAGCGCCGTGCGCTCCTGCGTGAGCACGTCCAGCTTCTTCTGCATCGCCACCTCCCGCTTGGACGGGCCCAGCAGCGCTTCCTTGAAGGTGGACGGCCGCCGTGGTGCTGCAGCCCCGCACCCACGGCAGTGCTTCCTCGTCGCGTAGTTGCCCGTCGCCCCGCAGCTGCAAGACCACCTGCTCTTCCCGCTGCACCCGCCGCGCCACGGTGGCGCCCAATCCGCCATGGCACGCACACCTGCACGGGTCCCGTGAGTTGGAGGGGCGCTGCCCCCGTAAACTTCAGATCTGTCCGCGGTCCAGCGGTATCCATTGGACACCGCTGGGGCAGAGGAATCTTGAGCCCAAATGGCTACGGAAGAGGCCGCCGAGAAGCCCCCAAAGGCCCCCAAAAGGCCCAATAGGCCCCGAAGAAGCCTCCAAGAGGCTCCTAGGAAGCTCCCAGGAAGCCTCAAGAGTGTCCCCGTAGGCTCCCAAAATGTCACCTCCTCCTCCTCCTCCTCTTCCAATTCCTCCTCCTCCTCCTCCGCCTTTTCCAATTCCTCCTCCTCCTCCGCCTGTTCCTCCTCCTCCGCCTGTTCCTCCTCCTCCCCCTCCTCCTCCTCCTCCTCCTCTTCCTCTTTCTCGTCATCGTCCTCCTCCTCCTCCTCCTGATCTTCCCCGCCATCCTCCCCCAAGTGTTCCCCGAAAGGTTTACACAACGGCTGGGGGAGCACATGGTCCGATAGCTTGGCGGAGCCCTTGCCACAACACTTGGCCACATGGGCGATTCTAAAAGGCAAGGAGTGGCGGTGATTCGCCGCAGGCGACTTCGATAACGCCAACGTCTCAATATTCGTTGATGGTTATGATCCGCCCCCGCACGATGTTCCCAGATGCGCCAAGGCAGCGCCGAGACGCACCGACGCGACTGTGAGATATCCAAGTATGATACAAAAGGGGCCACCGACAGGGAGCGAAGCCATTGCGGACACAAGCATATATAATGAATACTTACCCTGGCAAAGCAACCTAACAGCGATATGTAGGAGCATACCTGGAAGCATTCCCCTTAATATTCAGATGAGAATGCAATTGTAGAATTCTGCTGTTTTCGCAGTCGTAGTCGCATTCGCAATGACAGTCGCAGTGGCAACGGCAGTCGCAGTCACAGCCTCAGCCTCAGCCTGCCTCAGCCTCAGCCTGCCTCAGCCTCAGCCTGCCTCAGCCTCAGCCTCAGCCTGCTTCAGCCTCAGCATCAGTCTGCCTTCAGCCTCGGCCTCGGCCTCAGCCTGCCTCAGCCTCACCCTGCATCAGCCTCAGCCTCAGCCTCAGCCAGCCTCAGCATCAGCCTGCCTCAGCCTCAGCCTCAGCCTGCCTCTGCCTCAGCCTCAGCCTGCTTCAGCCTCAGCCTCAGTCTGCCGTCGGCCTCGGCCTCAGCCTCAGCCTGCCTCAGCCTCAGCCTGCATCAGCCTCAGCCTCAGCCTCAGCCTGCCCCAGCCTCAGCCTCAGCCTCAGCCTGCCTCAGCCTCAGCCTGCCTCAGCCTCAGCCTGCCTCAGCCTCGGCCTCAGCCTGAGCCTGCTTCAGCCTCAGCATCAGTCTGCCTGCAGCCTCGGCCTCAGCCTCAGCCTGCCTCAGCCTGAGCCTGCCTCAGCCTCAGCCTCGGCCTCAACCTGCCTCAGCCTCAGCCTCAACCTGCTTCAGCCTCAGCCTCAGTCTGCCTGCAGCCTCGGCCTCAGCCTCAGCCTGCCTCAGCCTGAGCCTGCCTCAGTCTCAGCCTCAGCCTCAGCTTGCCTCAGCATCAGCCTCAGCCTGCTTCAGCCTCAGCCTCAGCCTCAGCCTGCTTCAGCCTCAGCCTCAGCCTGCCTCAGCCTCAGCCTGCCTCAGCCTCAGCCTGCCTCAGCCTCAGCCTCAGCCTCAGCCTGCTTCAGCCTCTTCATCAGTCTGCCTGCAGCCTCGGCCTCAGCCTCAGCCTGCCTCAGCCTGAGCCTGCCTCAGCCTCAGCCTCAGCCTCAGCCTGCCTCAGCCTCAGCCTCAGCCTGCATGAGCCTCAGCCTCAGCCTCAGCCTGCCTCAGCCTGAGCCTGAGCCTGAGCCTCAGCCTCAGCCTCAGCCTGCCTCAGCCTCAGCCTCAGCCTCAGCCTGCCTCAGCCTCAGCCTCAGCCTGCTTCAGCCTGAGCCTCAGTCTGCCTTCAGCCTCGGCCCCAGCCTCAGCCCGCCTCAGCCTCAGCCTGCATCAGCCTCAGCCTCAGCCTCAGCCTGCTTCAGCCTCAGCCTCAGCCTGCCTCAGCCTCAGCCTGCTTCAGCATCAGCCTCAATCTGCCTTCAAGCCGCAGCCTGCCTCAGCCTCACCCTGCATCAGCCTCAGCCTCAGCCTCAGCCTGCCTCAGCCTCAGCCTGCCTCAGCCTCAGCCTCAGCCTGCCTCAGCCTCAGCCTCAGCCTGCTGCAGCCTCAGCCTCAGTCTGCCTTCAGACTCGGCCTCGGCCTCAGCCTGACTCAGCCTCAACCTGCATCAGCCTCAGCCTCAGCCTCAGCCTGCCTCAGCATCAGCCTGCTTCAGCCTCAGCCTCAGCCTGCCTCAGCCTCAGCTTCAGCCTCAGCCTGCCTCAGCCTCAGCATCAGTCAGCCTTCAACCTCGGCCTCAGCCTCAGCCTGCCTCAGCCTGAGCCTGCATCAGCCTCAGCCTCAGCCTCAGCCTGCCTCACCATCAGCCTGCCTCAGCCTCAGCCTCAGCCTCAGCCTCAGCCTGCCTCAGCCTCAGCCTGCTTCAGCTTCAGCCTCAGTCTGCCTTCAGCCTCGGCCTCAGCCTCAGCCTGCCTCAGCCTCAGCTTGCCTCAGCCTCAGCCCCAACCTTCCTCAGCATTCAAAATGTAGCCCGGGAGTGAGTTCTGGGAACTCGAAGAAACCGAAGTGGCCTACAGTTGGTTCCGGGCATTCGAAATCTTCCCCAGGAATGGCATTCTGGAACTCGAAGACCACGAAGTGGCGTACAGTTGGCTCCGGGCATTCAAAATCATTCCCAGGAATGGAGTTCTGGGAACTCGGAGACGACGGAGTGGCCTACAGTTGGCTATGTGCATTCAAAATCGTGCCCAGGAATGGAGTTCTGGGAACTCGGAGACGACGAAGTGGCCTACAGTTGGCTCCGGGCATTCAAAATCATACCCAGGAATGGAGTTCTGGGAATTCGAAAACTACGAAGTGGCCTACAGTTGGCTCCGAGCATTCAAAATCATGCCCAGGAATGGAGTTCTGGGAATTCGAAGATCACGAAGTGGCCTACAGTTGGCTCCGGGCATTCAAAAACATGCCCAGGAATGGCAGTCTGGGAATTCGAAGACCACGAAGTGGCCTACAGTTGGCTCCGAGCATTCAAAATCTTGCCCAAGAGTGGAGTTCTGGGAATTCGGAGACGACGAAGTGGCCTACGGTTGGCTCTGGGCATTCAAAATCATTCCCAGGAATGGAGTTCTGGGAATTCGAAGACCACGAAGTGTATAACTGTTTGAATAAAGCGATTTTCGCGGATCCACCCTGGCACCCGTCCGGCATCTGCCCAGACCCCCCTGGGGAGTCAAGGTGCTCCCTTTTGAGTCTACTAGAAACCTATCAGTCTTCGCTGTTAGGTAATTATACAGATATATATATATATATACACACACATACATACATACATACATGCATGCATGCATGCATGCATGCATGCATACATACAAACATACATACATGCATACAGACATTCATACATATTGTCACCCTGTGATTGACAAATCCGTGGGGGCGCGCGTTCGAACAAGATTTTACCCCTGCTGGGGCGAATCGCGGGGTGGTGCCCGCCAGATTGAAAATCAACGGGTCGGCGCCGGTGATTAGCGCCGACGCCCGGCCGCCAACGAGTGGCAAGAGGGAGCGTTTGGAGGCAAGGGCGAGTCACGGCGCCCCTCTTTCTGTCGAACCGAAGCGGGCCAGCGGGCAAAGCGGGCTGGACGGAAGTGGGGCGCAGCAAAGGGGCGATCTGCCAAGCAGCTTACGTCGCCGATTTTCCAAGCGCCTCCTGGCGCCGAAAGCGGCCATGCGTCGAGGACTGGCCCTCTGGCGGGGCGACCGAAACCAGCTGCGCGCAGCAGGCTTTGCAACCCCCTTGTTCCTTCCCCAGCCTTTCGTCCAACCCGAGCAAGACGGGTAGTCCTACTCCCCCCCTCTGTCGCCGTCGTCGCCGCCGTGCCCCGCCCTGCATGCGCCCGTTTCCACCGGCCGCGAAGCAAGGCGCAGCAAGGCGGGGCGAGGCGTGGCAAGGCGGGCCCGCCTTCCTCACCCTCTTGCCGCTCCTGGCCCCTCCTCCTTCTCCTCCTCCTCCTGCCCCTCCTCCTCCACCGTCTTATCCTGCTCCTCCTCGTCCTCGTCCTCGTCGTCCTCGTCCTCGTCCTCGTCCTCGTCCTCGTCCTCGTCCTCGTCCTCGTCCTCCTCCTCCTCCTCCTCCTCCTCCTCCTCCTCCTCCTCCTCCTCCTCCTCCCCCATATCCTCCTCCTCCTCCCACTCCTCCTCCTCCTCCTCTTCCTCCTCCTGCTCATCCTCCTCCCTTTCCTCCTCCTTTTCCTCGTCCTCCTCCTTCTCCTCCTTCTCCCCCCTCCCCCTCCTATCTCCTCCTTCCACCTCGCGCGCGTGATTTGCTACTGTTTGTTAATATCGCGCCCCGTTGGGTCTACTCATAAACCCCGGGGGGGGCCTTTGGTGAATCGCAAGTTCGCACTACACAAATACAGAGCCACACATTTATGTGTGTCTGTATATGCGGTCCAGCGGCTATTGCCGCCGTCACCACCCCATCGCCGCGTCGTCGCCGCCCGTCGGCTGGGCCTGTCAGGGGGTCTGGCGACGATGTTGCCGCCGTCGCCGCCCAATCGCCGCCTCGTCGCCGTCCGACGTTTGGGCCTTCCTGGCGGTCTGGCAGCTATGCTGCCGCCGTCGCCGCCTCGTCGGCGCTTTGTCGCCGCCACATACTCCACATCCACTGCACAGCATGAACTGCATCACGTAGGTCCCCTGCTTTATACGTTCACAAGCGAATTAAGATCTATCAGCCCCGTCCCCTGCCCAGTTTCGTCTGCACCCCCGGGGGACATCCAGATACATGTGACTATGTCCCATCGTTCACAAAAAAATGAATTCAGATCATCCCAGCCAAACAGGTTCCGCCCCCCCCCCTTTTCATCCGCGTCAGAGAATGCTATGCGCGCGCACTCGTTT